CCTCCTATTCTATCTAGTAGTCCTGTTATCAAAAGGTATTTGCTAAATTTTTGTAAGTACTTTCAGGGACATTGTTGCTCGAAGTACACTACGACCCGTTTTTTCATTCTACAAACTTTTAGTTGATTCGGAATGGGACTTACAAGCTCCAGCTAACAACAAAACACCAATGTACGCTTGAAAATCAATTTTATCTACATCTTTCCAGTTGGCTCCAAAAACACGCTGTCCTTCCGTGCTGCTCATATTTATAATTGGTTTGCAACTATGTCAGAAAAGAGTACGTCAAATAAATTTTTGATATCGAACATTTGTGCACATGCGTACCTTGTAACTCCTGGAGCATTATTTACAATAATGGCCGTGAAAAAAAAACTACTTCTTTGGAAAGAAGAATCGAGAGACCACTGAATATTACCGTCTTTTAAAGGAACTGTTACAGAAGGTACTCTGGGAACTGTTCATCACTCAACTTTAACTCATCACTCTCTGTCACGTTCGCGAGGTCGCGAAGCTCATCTTCGGTTAGCGTTCTTTGATGCGACATTATCTACATGTAAATAGAGACTGAAATTTGAAATGAATTCGAAATGATCGACATGTTGGATAACAATATTATCCAATTAGAAGACGTTATGTTTTCTGATGAGTGTACTTTTTTACTTTACGGTCATGCTAATCGGCAAATATTCCGCTACTGGGCCAGGGAAAATCCTCACTGGATGAGAGAACACACTCAATACCCTCAAAAGGTTAATGTTTTGGGCAAGGATTGTAGAAAACAATATCATTGGTCCCTTTTTCATTGAAGACAACTTGTATGGCAACAATTATTTGGCACTACTTCAAAATGATGTCATTCCACCGTTGGCAAATTTATATCCTGATCCAGAAAACCCTCAAGTTCCAGCGAATATGATATGGTTTCAGCAAGATGGAGCACCACCATATTACCAACTTAATGTCCAGCAGTACCTCGATACAATATGTCCCAATCGGTGGATAGGGAGGCGAGGATGGATTGAATGGCCAGCGCGATCACCTGATCTTACATTATTAGATTTCTTTTTATGGGGACATGTGAAGAGCCATGTGTACAAAACTAAACCTTTTGATTTAAATGATTTAAAAGAGCGAATAACGCTTACGATTAGGTCGATCACGCCTGTTACGTTAAATAATGTTAGAAGACAGTTTTATTTGAGATTAGGATGTTGCCAAGACGTTCGCGGTGAATATTTTGAACATTCTACTTCATTAATATTTATAATTCTTTTTCGTGTTTTACATTTTATTACGTTTTGCATTACATTTTAGTTTTTTGATTGTAGCGAATTTCGGTAACCACATGATTTTAATTTTATTTTATCTTAATAAACTAATATTAATAAATTTGAAAGGGACAACATTTTTGAATGAAGAATGAAAAGACCTTTCACATGATATATCACAAGCCTATACTTCCCATTTTAAAAATTGGGGGTTGTACCTGTCATTCTAAGGGGGTTGAAGGTAGGATTTGCATTTTCACGTTAAAGAATGTCAAGTTATAATTTAAATTTGACGTTTATCGGGATTTTTTATAAATATGTACAATAACCTAAATAATGAATTTATTCCATTTGGCTTTTACACACTGTATATATTTAGTTATATCTCAAAATATCTAGTAACATTTATTTTGCTCTTTTCTGTATCAAGCTTCATTTTTTAAAAGTAAAATAAATGGGTGTATTTTGTTGCAGTTGTAACCTACTATTAGTTTCGCGTAATAACAGGCGCTTCCTCACTAACGTACGATATAACACGTAGCAAAAATTGTTTTCGCAACCGTGTCTGGAATTATAAAGAATAGCGCAGTTTATAAACTCAGCTAAATGCACTTTTAATTAAAGGACCTCTATAATTTTACGGTAGAACAATTTTATTTGGTAGTTTACCTTAAATATCACAGTTTCATAAGCTAGGATTAAAAATTTTAATAATGAAAGAAAATAAAATCTATAATAGGATCGTCTGTATCTGTAGATTCTGTCTCCTCTACGGAGGTTGAAGATCTATTCAATATAACAATCAATACTATTTACTTGCAGCTACTTTAAATAGTTAGTTTGACGTTAAAGTTTTTTAAGCATAAACTTCTTCTTTATTTAATCGGTAGCATTGGACAGAAATAAATAATTGTGACCAATAAGAAATGAGGAGGTGGCGTTCAAAAAAAGTATTGGTCACAACTAGGAAAATGTGTAGAAAAATCAAAAAAACTATTTCTTTATTTTCCATGTTTGCTGGTTCTGACATTTTTTTTCTTATGATAGATTGGTAGTTCTGGACAGTAAAGATAAATATAAAAGTAAATATTAGGTGCTCATTTTATAAAATAGAGGTTTATTTAATGAACTAAACGCGATTTGATCGACCGGTATGGACCAAACTTCTTTTAAATAAACTCTATGAGGAATAATCCTCTTTTGATTGATCATGTAAATTAGTTATAGGTCAAAAAAACCTTAGAAAACAATAAATTTAATATAAACATCAATGTCTTTAAGACTTATCAGTATAAAATCAAAAGTTAAATGTATACAATTCAAAACTCAAATGTGCATCCCAACATCTTCCTCTAGATAGTCACAGTTTTCTTCATCATGATTAGCTTCATCTGTTCCAGGGACGTTGTTAGAAACGATACGAATATACCAATAGAGTAATTGAGGCGGTCAACGTGAGAAGGGCACATATTCTTATGTGACCTTTTTACGCAGAATGGCTATTTAGATCCGCCATGTTTTCCCCTTTACAATGATATAATTTTCATTTATTTATTTTTAAAAATAAAATTTGTGGAACTGTTTGAATATTAGTGTGCAAAATGTTTTATCAGATATGTGATTGTTTATAAACGATTTCTGCAGGTGTTTTGTATAGGAGGGCTATTTATCGCTTTTCATTTGTTTCGATCACTTGCCATGTGTCATATAATATTAATATATTATAGTGAGTTTAAAGTATCGGTATTATTCTGATTAGTATATTCTGATCAGTTATTCTGATAAGTTTTATTCTATTATATTATTACATTGAGTTTTATTCTGATAAGAACTATAATATTTCGCTCTTCTTTCATGTACCATATTCTTTTAGAATGTTGGTTACCATTATAGCTATCTTAATTTTATTTACTTCTTCTTCTTCATGTCCCTTGTCCGTTCCGAACGTTGGCAATCAACATGGCTATGATGCCTTTGTTTACGGTAGATCTGAATAGTTTAGCAGATGACAATCCAAACCATTGAACCTTAAAAACTCCGAAAATATGGCTTAAAGATAATGGCACTAACTGACCGAACCCATTACTTTTTGGATGGGTATGTATATACAGGTGCTGGAAGTGATGGCCAAACATTGTCAGAAGAGGAAAGAAATTTTAACAAACTAACGCAATCAATTCTTCGTCTAGTGTTGAGGGCTCTTACCGTAACGTAACAGCAGACAACTGGTTTACATCCTTAGAAGTAATAACCGAGTTGAGGAACTGTTCGAGAAATAAACATATTGTTTTAAAAAATAAAATAAAAATATAATTCTTTGACTTTTTTAGTGTATAATAACTAGAACACGCTTTATTAAAGTTTGAACGCGACACCCTGGCGCTTGACGTCTGACCCTGTTAAATATTTTTCACAACTAAATAAAATAAGGGTAATCTTCCTATTTTACGCATTAGGTAGTGTTTGGTCAGTTCAGTAAGAGCAGTTCAAGTTCACACATGGTCCTGGAGCCATCACAGCGAGTAGTTAAAAACTCGCAATTCACGTGTTAAAAATAATATTCTCTCGTCGCCGAAATCGGGCAATTTCTCATAACGGTTTTTCTTTGACGTGTTATAAAGAAAAGTACATTTGATATTGTATAGTAAGTTACGGCCGTGTTGGGCCCCTCTACTCTTAAAAGATTTAATTATAAATCGATAAACTCAAACGTGATTTTATTTCTCTGGAGCTATATTTGCTCACATTAAGAATCCTTATCCTTCAACGGTCACTGAAGAACCAAACCTATGGAGATGCATCCATTCACAAGTCCTTTGAAGAAAGGCTTGGAATCAAAAGATTTCCAACTCTCATGATGTAGGTAGCCAGTACAAGGCTCCCTCAGGAACCGAGGCCTAACTTACGTGGATACTGTTAAAATATAAAGAGAGATATCTATTTATTTTTTGCTATCTAAAACGAGGCTCACGAAATCATCTCTATTTTAATTTGGTGATAGAGTCACATTAGTTTTATATGTACTTAAACCACGGAAAGCGGTACTTTTGATGTCTTCAATGCACTACAGTAATGCAGTAAACGATGAAACAAAAAAACCCGAATTTATCGAGTTATATAATCAAACAAAAGGAGGCGTCGATGCATTAAATGGGAAATCTATAGTTTATTCTACACATCTTAGAAGTCGAAGATGGCCTCTTACTTACTTTTATATAATTTTGGATATTTATTTTGTCAATGTGTTAATAATATACTCATCCATACCTGGAAACCCCCAAAAGTCGAGGTATCAATTCATCAAAATAAATCTCTGGCTCTACAACTTGAGCAGGATCATATGGAAAGAAGACTAACTATTTCTCAAATTCCACGGCAACTGAGACATAATATCGCTTGCATTTTAAAAACGGACATTCCTGAACAGAAAAATGCTATTTTAGAAAAAAGAGTAAGGTGCTCAAAATGTCCACGATCATTGGAATCAACACACATTTACAAAGATTGCCTATAAAAATGGATTGTAGTTTTTATGATGTTTTCTGTTTTTAAATATTTTTTTGTGGTGGTAGGTTAGATTGAATGTTTAAATTTATGTTTTAAGGAAAAAAATGTTGTTCCTTTTTTTTGTTACAGGATAATGTTTAGTCTAGTTACAAAATAACTTATTTTTTGAGGCTGTTTCTTAGTTTAATTTTTTATGCGGGATCATCATTATCTTTGGCTCGACAATCCTCTGTGGATCTTGGCCTGCTCTAAGATTCGACGCCATTCTGTTCGGTTTTTGGCAACATGTTGCCACCTTCTGATTTTTAATATTCGTAAGTCGGTTTCTACTCCATCTAACCACCTAATTCGCGGTCGGCCTTTGCTTCTTTTTCCTACAGGTGTTCCTGTGGTTAGCTTTTTAGCAATGGTATTTTTTGGCATTCATATTATGTGTCCAGCCCATCTAAGTCGCTGTGTTTTAATGAACGTTATGACATCTGGCTCATCAAAGAGCTGATACAATTCAAAATTATATCTTCTGCGCCACTGCCCTTGGTCGTTTACAGCTCCAAATATTTTGCAAAGTATTTTACGCTCAAATATTTCCAAAAGTCTTTCATCTTTCTGCGTTAGTGTCCATGTTTCTGCTTCATATGTGAGGACCGGCCTCAGCAATGTTTTGTATATAATAATTTTAGTTCTTCTTTGAATGTTTCTTGAGTGGAAATGCTTTTGGAGTCCATAGTATGCCCTATTTGTAAGATTTATTCGTCTTTTGATTTCTTCGCTTGTTTTATTGGTAGCAGTCAATAGCGACCCAAGGTATGTGAAGTTGTCAACACGTCCAAAGGTATGACTTCCAAAGACTGTTTCTCGTTCCTCATTTGCTATCGGATCCTTTGTAACCAACATGTACTTGGTTTTGTCTTCGTTGATGACTAGACCGACCTGTTTCGCCGCTGTTTCCAATTCTAGGAGATATTGCTCAACATCTCGCTTGCTACGCCCTATTATGTCAATGTCATTAGCATATACTAAGACTTGTATCGATCTATTGTAAATAGTACCGCCGTCCCTAATTCGTGTATCTCGGACTGCCTTTTCTAAGGCAATATTAAATAGGAGGCAAGCCAGAGCATCTCCTTGTCTGAGTCCATCCTTTATCTCAAAGAATCTAGAACTCTCTCCCTGTATTCTAACAGTGGCTTCTAAGTTAGACATTGTCATTCTCGTTAGTCGGATAAGTTTCTCTGGTATACCAAACTCATGCATTGATTGGTATAGCACTGTTCTCTTGACACTGTCGTATGCTGCCTTGATAGTCGACGAATAGGTGATGGGTTTCAATATTGAATTCTAATGTTTTCTCGAGAATCTGTCTTATTGAATGAATCTGGTCAATTGTTGATTTTTCTGGAGTGAATCCAACTTGATATTTACCAACTATGCCCACTGTGTAAACTTGCAACCTTTCGTAGAGAATATTTGCTAGTATTTTGTAAGCAGTTGTTAACAGGGTTATACCTCTATAGTTGTCACACTGGAGCTGGTCTCCTTTTTTATGTAACGGGCATATCACGCCTTGAGACCATTCACAAGGCATGGTCTTATTATGCCAAACAAGAAGTAAAAGCTTATGCAGTGTCTGTAGTAGGGCATCGCCACCATTCTTGTAGAGCTCACTGCAAATTTGATCAACTCCTGGTGATTTATTATTTTTAAGCTTTTTAATGGCTTGGGCAACGTTTTCGATGGTAGGTGGTCTTTCGTTTGGGCTGAAAGGATTCCAACCATTTCGATTTGCTAGGGTGTTATCTGCTTATTCGATATGATGGCCATTAAATTTTGTATCGAAAAATTCAACCCATCTGTTTAGGATGGAGGCCGTATCGTTTAGGATGTTTCCTTCTACATCCTTACAGCTCCTTATTCTTGGCTTAAACTCTTTGCGCATTTTGTTTAGATTTCTGTAGAACTTTCTAGTTTCATTTTGATTTCTTAGAAATTCTATGCTTTCCAATTTCTTTTGCTCAAATTGTCTTTTTTTTCTTCTATGTAGTCGTTTTTCTTCTTTTCTTAGTGTCCGGTATTCTTCCTTTGCTCTTCTTGTGCATCCAGCTTGATTTGTCTTTAGGTATGCCCTGTTTTTGTTATCTGTTGCTTCTTGGCACTCCTTGTCAAACCATTCGTTTTCTTTAACTGGTTGGGTTTTCCCCAATATTTTTGTTGCTTTCTCAGTTTTATGTTTTTACATTTTGTCCACAGTTCCTTTACGTTTTTCCCCACCTCCACGCTCTCCATTTCTTCGTCCATTTGTCTCCTATACTCTTTCGCAACGGTTTCAATGCGCAGATTATCAACATTAATTCTGTCTTGATTCGTGTGTTTATCTTTCTTTAGGTTTGATATTCTTCCTCTGATTTTTGCCATTACAAGAAAGTGGTCACTGTCAATGTTTGGGCCTCGGTAGCTTCTGACGTCAATGATATCGGAAGAGTGCCTTGCATCTATCAGGATGTGATCTATCTGCTTAATGGTTTCGTTATCAGGGGATTTCCATGTTCCTTTGTGTATCATTTTATGGGGAAATGTTCTTCCTCTACTATCATGTTGCAAAGTTTATTAGTCTCAACCCGTTATCATTTGACTCTTCATGTAAGCTCTCACGTCCTATAGTTGGCTGGAAAAATTTCTCTTTGCAAATTTTTGCACTAAGGTCTCCAGCAATGATTTTCACGTCATGACTTGGACATCGATCATATTCTTTGTCTAAGGTGTCATAGAATTCATCTTTTTCATTGGCCTCCTTTTCTTCCGTAGGTGCGTGTACACTAAGTAAGCTAAAGCCATAAACAACAGAATATGTTATCTACATCTTAAAGAATTTTCCTTTAAGACGTAGATAACATATTCTGTTGTTTATGGGTTTATGCGTGATGAGTATTTCAAATATTCGTTAAATTTATGTTATAACAAAATAAACGTCTTTAAGTTATTGACGTTATTTTTTTTTATATAAAACAAATATTTTGCAAAACAAATTGGGGTCAGTGTGATCCCAACTTACCATTCTCTTTTTTTAACCTATTCTCTATCCTTCCATTGTTGGATATACATAGGTCTCCCCAGTTCTTTTCATCTTTCCCATTTTTGAGCTGTTCTCTGCCATGTGGGACCTCCTTGTTTTCTGATGTCATCTTTCCACCTCATCTGTGGTCTGCCTCTTGATCTCTTTGCATTGTATGGACGCCACTTTCCGATGGAATTGTTCCATCGTCCGTCTTGGAGGCGTTCATTGTGTCCAGCCCATTTCCATTTTAGTTTTGCTGCTTGTTCTATCGCGTCTACTGTCTTTGTTCTGGTTCTGATCCACTGGTTACGTTGTCTATCTTTAAGTAATATACCCAACATTTGTCTCCCCATCGCTCTTTGTGCCTTCTTTATCCTATCCAAATTGACCTGTGTATATGTCCATGTCTGTGCTCCGTAGATGAGCACCGGTATTATACAGGAGCTATATACCTTGCTTCGTAATTATAGAGGGATTGTTTGATTGTTTAGAACGTAAGAAAGTTTGCCAAACGCTGCCCATCCCATTCTTACTGGTCTCGATATTTCAGCTGTTTGATTTTCTCTGTTAGCTCTGATTGCTTGTCCTAGATAGATATACTCATTTACCTGTTCTATTTTTTCTGTTTGTATTTTTATTGCCTCTTGGTCTTCCGTGTTCATTACTTTTGTGGTCTAGTGTATCATTACTTTTGTTTTGTTGAAGTTAATTTTTAGGCCTTTTTGCAGTGATTTTTCATTAATTTCATTCAGCATTAATTCCAGTTCTTGTCGTTCCGAGGAAATTAAGAGTATATCATCCGCATATCTAAGGTGATTTAGGTATTTTCCTCACCATACACGTAACAAAAAATGGATCTCATCAGTTACGGGTTAATGTGTTTTGTTTTCATAATAACTTAATAAAAACCAAAAACTCAACACATATTTAATATTTTAGTATGCGAAATTAGTGTTATGTAATCCAACACTTCATGAAAATTAAATTATTTTGCCCTATATTATAGGAAAATAGGTTACCAATACCTATTCGATTGTACTAAATTAGTAATGCTAATGCTGATAAATCATCAAAATCAGATTCACGTGGACACAACATACCATAATCGCTGTTAGGGGATCTAGAAATCTCAAGCCGCATCTGATTATTCATGACCTGAATTGAATAATTGTAATTATTAATATGGTATATTATAAATGTGAAACTATTAATTACTTTTTTAATATTGAGGTTTGTTTACGGTATCAAACGTTTTCCGTATTTATTATTTATGAAAAATATTTGTTTCTTTATCTAAAATTTAAGTTAATATTAAGTATATTTATATTTAACTTAAATATCATATAGTCAGGATATATTTCTACGATTGCGCTAGAAAAAAGTGACCACCAAGAAGAACAAGTTAAAATCTAGCCCAAAATTTACCAATTTTATTAAATAAGATCTACTTAAGATTGTTAGTATAGACTCATTTCCCATATACTAGTTTATTAAAATTCTTCTTCTTCCTTTTTTTATATAGACATGACTCTGTCTGTTTGTTAATGCGCCTTTAGTAAGTTGTCGTTCTATCGTTTTAGCGGTCTTCCTACTAATCGTCTTCCTATTGGGCAACCCGTCTCGTGCCGTCTTTACTGCTCTATTTGTTGTCATTCGGCTTATATGATCATTCCTTTCTACTCTTCTATTTCTTACCCAGTTCTTGATGTTCTCCACCTTGCATCTAGGTCGTATATCTGTACTTCTCTCTGTCCCATAGTGTCTTACCATCAATTTTTTAAGAGTTTTCATCTCTGCTGTTTCTAACAACCTGTTTGTCCTCTCTGTATCAGGTCTTGTTTCTGCCGCGTATCTCATTATTCATCTGATGACTGTTTTGTAAATTCTGCCTGTCGTTTATTTCCCGATATTTTTATTTCTTCATACGGTTTCATTTAGGCAGCCTGCGGCTTTGTTTGCTCTGTTCAGTTGATTTTCCACTTCAGTTTCGAGCTTCCCGTAGCTAGATAATGTGATACACATATATTTAAACTTCATCACTTGTTCTATTATCTGACCTTCCAGCTCTAATTTACATCTTAGTAAATTGCTGGTTTAACCATGCAATATGTCTTTTTTTGGGAAATTAACATGGGAAATTTTTTAGCGGTTATATTAAATTGGCACAGCATACATTGTAAAACATCTTCACTTTGAGAGAGTAGTATTGCGTCGTCTGCTTAGCAGATTATTTTAAGTTGTTTTTCTCCGATTTGGTACCCTTTTTTAGTTCTTACTTTTTCTATTATTTTATCCATAATCAGGTTTAACATAAGATGACTCATTGAATCTACGTGTCTTACCCCATTGTCAGCTTTAATAGGGTCGGTTTGTTCTTTTTCTACTTTTACTTTGATTGTGTTGTTTTGGTATTTACGATATTTTCGATAGGTTGGATTATTCTTAGATGTATCTCTTTTGCCTACAGTAAGTGGGTAACGTCTTTTAATTTGACCTGGTCATATGCCTTTATAAGGTTCACGAAACATAGATATGCCGGTTTGTTGTGTTTTACTGATTTCTCTTGCACTTGCCTCTTTATAAATATAGCATCGGTGCATAATCTTACCGACCTAAAACCTTGTTTTTCTTCTGCTAGCGTTATCATTTCATACGATTTATTTGTTATCACTTGGGTTATTCATTTTAGTGTTGTGTTTAATAAATTAATTCCTCTGTAAATTTCCGAGTCCGATTTGTTTCCCATTTTAAAGAGAGATATTAGGATGCTTGATTTCCATTCTTGAGGAATTTTGTCGTGCTCTATTATTTTTTTCTTAGTTTTAACCCATTAAGCGCCGTTGATGCGAAAACGCAACATTTTAAAAGGAATTTTTTTTTATACAACTAAATATTTTGTTTTTAGAAAATTCTTTAAATGTTTTAATTCCTCAAGGCTTGATGATATTGAAATATATTTTATAGAACAAATATAATTAATTGTTTATCTATTATAAATTAATTTCTTCAGCAGTTTTTTACATGATTCGTCATGACTATATAATCTTCTTATGATTTATGACTATATAATAGTTTATATGATTTTTATAAAGCATAAACTACAGATTTAAAAATAACCATACAAAAAAATTAAATAATCTTATCAAGAAAAAGTTACATACATTCAAACTTATTGTTGCGTTTTCGCATCAACGGCGGAATGTGCTGTCTCTAGGTAATACCGCCTAGGCTACGTGACAAATCGAGTGTAACCGTATTTGACTAGTTCAGCCTTGTCTAGAGCGTTTTAGTATAAGCATATAGAGCAATAATTGTGTTTCTTTGTATTGTTGCGGATAAAACATATATAATGAGTTCTGGCAAAAATAAGTGGAAAGATAATTATAATCGGAATAGACCTCTTACTATTCAAGAATTGGAAGCTGCTATTGAAGAAATTCAAAATGACACCGAAATTGATGCTGTAATAATACCACCAGATGTCGATGAGCTTACTGATGAAGAGGAAATAGATGACGATTTATTAGAAGGTATTATACGGTATAATTATATAATATACTGTTATGTAACTTATATTTTTTTATTACTTATAGGCCATGATAAGCCTGAAGACACTGCTGGGACATTCGAATTGATGGCTGAGGACAACACAAATGAATTTAAAGATAATTATAATGAACCTTCTACAAGCCAGGCTACTTCAAAGAGGGCAAAATCTGTTCAATATAATCCAAACTGGAGCAAAAGGGACCCCGTATACAGTAATTTTCCGGAATCGCAGGAGCACATTCAAAAAACAACGTATAAAGGACATGCTTTACGGTAAATCACCAGTTGAAGTATTTTATAATTTTTTTGACGAGGAATTATTAGTCATGATTTTAAAATACACTTTAAAATACGCCAAGGATAACAATCGACATGATTTTTCAATGACAGTATCTGATTTAAAGAAATTTATTGCCATTTTGATCTTGTCAGGATATCACACGTTGCCACAAATGGAGATGTATTGGAGCAGAGATGAGGACAAGGGAGTACCATTAATTAAAAATTGCATTGGTCGAAATAAGTTTCGCAATGTAAAAAAATATATACATGTATGTGATAATGCTTAACTTGACAAGCAAGATAAGTTTGCTAAATTGCGCCCATTATTTGACAAAATAAACAAAAGAAATCTGCAGTTTGATGTATTTTCACAAAATTTATCAGTCGATGAGGAAACGGTTCCTTATTTTGGTTAGCCTCCGCTAAAATGTTCATCAAAGAGAAGCCTGTTCGCTTCGGTTTTAAAATTTGGTGTCTTTGTTCTCAAGATGGATATTTGTTTCAGTTTAGTCCATACGCTGCAGCACGAGAACATAAAAGTGATATGGGACTGGGAGCAGATGTTGTTATAGATCTATTAAAAGTTCTTGAATTTCCTTCTCAACACAGATCATTTTTTGACAATTTTTTTTCGTCTTTTAAACTATTTCAATATCTTACTGAAAATAATATATACGCCACAGGAACTGTTCGGGAAAACGGAATCCAAAAGTGTCCTGTAGATAGCTCAAATGATTTAAAAAAAGGGGGCAGAGGTGCTTTCGATTTTAGATATGATTTAAAATCCAAAATTTGTGTAGTTAAATGGAATGATAATTCAATCGTTATTATGATGTCAAATAATATACCAATAAATCCAATTCAGCAAGTAAAACGGTATGATAGAAAACAACGAAAAGAAGTAAGTGTAGACCAGCCATTTCTAATAAAAGAATACAACAAAAATATGGGAGGTGTTGATTTACACGATAACGGCATAGCCAATTATCGTATAAGAGTAAGAGGAAAGAAATGGTGGTGGCCTCTTTTTATAAATACTATAGACAGTACAATCGTCTCTCATACTAGGGTGCTGTCTTATAAAGATAAACATATAGGTAAAATAATATAAATTATAGTTATTATGCCAATATTGCATGTCTGTGGTTTTTATTACGCATAAACTGTTTAAGCAGACGAAGTAAGACCCATAAATTGGTATAAAATAGTCTATTGAATTGTAATAAATTAGTAAATAAACAAAACATTACTCATATGCCGGTACAAGATTTATTAATGATTGGGAGAACATAGTTCAACCTATGCTGTAATTGCTGATGATGGGGATCTTCAGTTTTTACTATTGTAACTGTTTGATAATTTACGGGGAAGTTTCTTGAGGAGATAGCTATTAACCAATGAAAAGAAATCATGATAATATCTTAACTACTTTTTGCTGTCTCCTCTAGTTTGCGGTGTACCTTTCAAAACATACCAATTTAAGACACCTTGTACAATGATATTTTTGTGTTTCGGCGATTAAATTTGAATTTTTTTTATCTTGCTGAAATTCCGGTTTGACTGAGTACTTAATATTGTCATAAGGTTTCATATCAATAAAAAAATAAAGTCAGTTATTCTATTCTGATTATATTTTTACCATTTACAATATTTTTAATATCAAATTTACTTATTTTCAAAGAAGATATCTTTATATCGTTTATTTTAATAGTTTTACGCACAATTGAAACAAATTTTTAATGATTAATAAAAGAGTGGTATTTAGTATTTAAAAAATAATATTATGTAACCATCGAACTGTATTAACAACGGATTATTTCTTCTACAAAATGCTGATACCTTGGGTCAGAGAAGAGCGATCGAAAAAAGCTACTTAATACACCATTACGTTAAGGATTTCCGGTGTTTTTACAAGACCTAGAATGTGACAAGAAAATAAGTTGCTGTTGATCTCGATTTATCCATAGCTTACGCCACACTGCGGGCTGATTTTGATTTATGAGTAGGGAATGTTACTAGTTGTAGTGATTAATACGCTTTTGGCACGTGAACAGATCCAACCGCTTTCTCACGAATTCAATAAAATAAAGCTTTTAGTGTTAACCAGGTACCTGAGGTAAAAAAGGATGGAAATTCGATTGGTTTCGCCTCTTATCATTTATTTGCTTTGGGATTCGAGGGGATGTTTACCATCAGATTGAGAACAGCATCTCGAGAATTAGGTGCTTGTTGAAATTTCCTTATAAATTTTGAAATGGGAAATAGTATAGGACGTTTCATGATGTTTTTTTTTTGGTAAATGCATATATGATAAATATATATAA